TTTTGCAAACTTTTTTATTTTATTTAGATTTCCGAAAACTTATATATAAGATATCAAAATAGGTAAAATTAGCATTATGAATATGAATGTATCTAATAAGTGGTGGAATCACGAAATTGAAAGCAATTATGAGATGCTTGTGATTTTTGGTGTGATTGTGAGATGACTTAATCATATTCTATGGGCGGGCCATTTATTTAGACATTATTGGATTGAAGCACATGGTATAGATATTTAGTTACTATAGACTTGTTCATGTGCATAGGAATTGGCTATGTATTCTATGTTGTATAGAGTGTAACATGAATTTAGAAATTTTGGACTAGTTTGGAGTAGTTCCTAGGTGCCAATACACATAGCCTAAAGGAGGAAAATATAATTATTGTTGTACATCTAGTTGGTTGAAGAATTATACAGGATATTTAACACATAAGTTGAAAGTAGTGTATTATTAGGTCTTCTTTTATTGGGGAATAAAGGGGGAGGCTCCAATTTTATTAATTAGGAAATGTGAAAATATTATTATAATAAATATTTTGGAAGGAAATACTTGTTAGTAAACCTGCAAAACTGAAAGGGACATGTGCATTATATAGATATAAAATTACAAAGCGTTACAATTTTAAATTAAGTTGAATTAGGTAAATTAAACATTCCCTATAAAGTTGGATACCTTGATTATGATAATTTTTTATGTTTAGATTTAATTCACTGAGTCCTTCAAAATTTTATCTGTATATGCATTCAATTTTTTCTTACAATAGCATTGTCACCGAAGTTTGTCACGCTTCTAAATGCATTGAATCATTTATATAATAATTAATTTTTTTAACCCATGTACCCAAATGCACCCATCAAATAGGAATAAAATAGGTATTCCTTCATCTTTTCGTAAAAAAATAATTCATTTTGGGATATGTAGCTCCTCTTCCCCATAAGTGTTACTCTCAATAATCAAACTCTTGATTTCTGATAATTTAGAGAGACCTTACATCATTAGACATTTATTAACTTTACTTTAGTAACTTTTGTTAACAAATATTCTAAACTTAAAATATTGTTTAAGAAATAGAAATTTAGTAAACTATAATAATTTAAGTGTTAATTTATTTAAAATAAAAAATTAATCTAACAAGCTATTTACATTTAAAAATAAATTCTAATTGTTTTGGTTATTTCTTGGGATGTATCATTAGTGTTTTCTTGTATCTCTCAAGTTCCAAAATCCTTTGATTGAAACTTCTATGTTTATCTCCCTTCAAATTTATATCATTTGATTCGTGAGACTTTATTTTGATATTTTCTATTCATTTTACTCTTAACCCTTAACTCTTATTCAAAGACTTTATTTTAGAATTTATATTTACTTTACTCATACCTCTTACATTTATATCCATAACCCTATGTATTATCTCTCTATATGTATGACTTTGTAGTCAAAACAAAGCTTTATATCATATTTCCATCTAAGAAAAATTGATTTATGAGTGTGCAATCTCACTATTATATGTGATAAGATGCTCCTACTGTTACTTAAAATATGTGTAGCCTATTGTAAAATTAAAACCCGAGGATAAATCTAGAAAAGTCATACATTTCATATTTGCTTCCCATATGCCGCAACACCCATGAAAACCTTCTAATTCTCTAAATATCTACACTATATGATTATAATTGGAATTTGATGATGAATTGTACTAATCCCAATATTTAAGCTTGCATGATGTTTCACAATTGAAAAGGGCTAAATGGACCAAAATACAAACATTCAAAAGCCACAAATCAGGTCATATATACTTAGCGTAGGAGGCGGAGCGTGAAAACTGCACTCAACACGAACAAAGCCATGTGATGGGTCTGATACAAAAAGAGGTGCACTGAGAACACCGCCGATGTGCTCAACGCATGAGCCAAAAGTCAGAAAATACAAAAGGAGATCCAAGACGTCAAAAATAATATATTGATTCCTAAATTTAATGCATGGGAATTTAAGAACCGAGTTTGATTATTTTTTATCATGATTTATACTCTTCTAACTTTATAGTTAGAAGTATGCAAAATAAACTTAAGGTTGAAGGGAAAGAGGTTTACTTCTAAATTTATAATTTGGACAATACACGTTCAACCACCGTGTAAGGTCCAAAAAACTGCAGACTAAGCTTATGTTGAACTCGACGAGACACCGAGTGTTGACAATAAGTATGAAGCCTAAGTAGGAACCATTCTCCGACCTCAAAGGTAATATTTGTTCTTCCCATATCTGCATGTGTTTTCATCCTTTGTTGAGCATGTCGTAAATTCTGTTTCAGTGTGCTAATTATCTGAGTTCAGTTTTGTAGGAGTGTGTCTACTTGTTGGTTGGTAGTAGAGGACTGAACATAGTCATGAATGGTAGGAGGTGTGCGTCCGTAGAGAGCCTCAAAACGGGACATGTCTATCGATGAATGGGTGCTAGTATTGTACCAGTATTCTGCCAAAAAGAGTTATATGTGGTGTTGTGTTTGAGGGTAAAATAGGTTGGAAGTTGGGGTTGGGTGTGGATGTAGGTTGTTGGTGGGTCATGTGGGAAGTTGATGGTGTGGTGGGGGGGAGGGGTCAAGGGGTGGAGGGGGAAGGTATTCATACATTCCAATTTTTCAGTGTTGGATCTAAGAGCTTCAGCAATGGCTTCATGTCTTGCATTTTGCTGGTCTTAATTTTCTTGTAGTTTTTCTGCAAAAAGTTACGGAATATTTTCATCCAAATCCTTGTTCGCAGCTTTGGGAGGCATAGAACAAGAATGAAAGCACCAATTGATAAGGAATGTGTGTATAAAAGAGCACTAGTCTAAATTAACTAAGTTAAATGAACTAGAAGCAAATAAAATTTGCAATGCAGTAATATTTCATGTCCCTTTATGGGCAGCCAAGTAGCTTAAATACATAGAAATCTTGGGTTAAAACTAAAAGGTCATGGACCTTAACAGAGTAGGCCCACTTAATTCATTAAACATTAAAAATAAAAGATAATAAAAGACATTTTATTTAATGACATAATCAGCTAGCCACTTGGGCTTGTGTTTGAGTCTAGTGGACTTGGGTGAATTCCTATCATGAGCCACCACTGCCGTGAGTAGAAGACAACCACCATCGTTTTCCTTTACCGGCGAGAAGCTGAACCACTGTGGAAGAAAAGGTTGAGAAGATGAGGGAATTAGGGATTTCTATTTCTCTTTGGGAGCAACAGGGGTGATCCCACGTAATCCCCCCATTTCATCATATTTCCTTTTCTTTTATTCTTTTCATATTTTATTATTTATATATATTTATTTGTTTTATTCTAGCATCATTTATTTAGACATTTTTATAAAAATGAACATTAATTAATATGTTCTATATCTCATAACTATTAAACAATGACTTAAATGATTTTATTTGTATTACAATAATATATTTGTTTTAATAAAATGTAACCCCATTAAAATTTTAACCGTATTCAAATTATTTTAAAATCTCTTCAAGATTTGATGCAGTGTGGACATTAATTTATGCTGGTGCATCCATGAAGACGATAAAATTCCAATTGTTTCATTTGTTTCTTTCTCTAATGACCATTGTTTATATCATCCAAAGGAATCATTATATGAATACCACACAAACACTTTAGAATAGATATCAAATGATGAATTGCACATTCCCTCTTTAGACAAATCAACTTTATAAAATTTCAAATTATTTGTGCTTCATTTTGGAATTGATATCACATGGTGAATTACATTGTTGCTATTGGTATCCATGAGTTGTGCATCATTTGTGCATCATGTGTGCTTCATTTTGGAATAGATATCACATGATGAATTTCTATTGTGCATGGTATTTTCACACGCCCTAAATGCATCAAAATCTGATTTGTGGATTGAAAAAATACAATAAAAAGAAATCATTTTCCTAACAATAAAAAGGAGTAGATGGTGGATTCTCTTAGGTTTCTCGAAGCCTCTCTAAAGAGAAGTGAAACCATACCGTAGTTGATCGCCGCAACTTCTCTCCCTATCGGCGAGATCCCATTGACATTACTACAACCCCATAACTGAGTTGTAAGGTGAAGAAGCTTTGTTCGTCTCCACCATAGCCACCACCATTGATGCTTCTCGCCACCGCTCCCTTTCGTCACCGTAAAATGGTTGTTGCCGTTGTTGGATGGAGACGAAGAGAGGAGATAATGAAGATTAGGGATTTCGTTTTTCCCATTACGCGCTTACTTTTTGATAGGCTACCCCCTCTCTTTGGCTAATTCCCCCATTTTTAGCTTATTTCATTTTTTTCTTAATATTGTTATATGTTATCTATATTCTATCTATATTCCTATTTGTTCTATAATGCCTAATATCACTTGTTTTAGAAAAGTGTGTTAAAGTAATTATTAATTGGTATGTTTTATATGTTAACCATAAAACAATGGTTATATGTTTATCTCAACTCACCTTAATATCCCTTCCTCCAAAAAAAGTAAGAATCTAATTAAAATTCACCATGTGATAATAAAGAATGATAAAAAAAATAATTTTTAAATGAAATTTGATAGTTTGGTCTACGTTTCATGTTGTCTCTTCCTTTCTATTCTAAAATGAAAAGTCAGTATACGGTCAATATCATCTCTATACTATCAATTCCTACTTTATAAAATATATTATTCTCAAACGTCTATAAAAATCTCTTTTAAATTAACTATTTATAAGTATCTCCTAAAATTTGAATATTTTTAAATGAATTTCGGTAGTATTTTTAAATGAATTTACCCGTGCATATGTACATAGCAATATTTTTTGTCGCATGATTAATAGCACATATTAGATGTGCATTCACATGGTTAAGAACATACATGTTAATCATACATTCGCATGTTTAAAAAGATATATTACATATATTACATGTGCATTCGTATTGTTAAGAACAAACACGTGGCTCATACATTTTAATGGTTAAAAACACAAATGTTTTATTCGTACATTTTAATGGTTAAAAATACAAATGTTACTCGTATATTCACATTGTTAAGAAGAGTACATGTTACTTATACATATGTTACTCGTACGTTCGCATTACTCGTACATACATGTGTCTTTTAAGCCATACATTCAAATGATTAAAAACACAAATGTTACAGGGTTGACAGAAACATGTGTCTTTTAAGCCATACATGTGTCTGTTTAATTGATACCTTCATTTTATTATTGCAGGGTTGACAGAAACAAATATCAGATTCAAATCCCCTTGCCTCCGAAAATCGACCCCAGTGTTACCATGATGACAGTTGAAGAAAAGCCTGATGTCACTTACAATGATGTTGGTGGGTGTAAGGAGCAGATTGAAAAGATGCGAGAAGTAAGTTGTTGAAAACTCCTTGATTTTCCATCACTATCAAGTCAAGGGAGACTAAATTTGTGAAGTTTTCCCTGTTAGGTTGTTGAACTCCCCATGATTAAATAGTTGTTCTACTACTTATTTCTAAAAATATACTTTTGAAAAATAATAAAAATGAAAGAATTGTTATTTATAATGTATGAAAAGTTGTTAGAAAATAATTATAAATTCTGTGTTAGATTTTGATATTTTATTATTGATGGTGTATTATATTATTTTAGGGTTTTTTCATATAGTTGCGTGACTGAATTTGTTATCAAAAAATAATATATTTGTAACAATGTAAATTAAATATGTATCTATGGTGACCTAAATTTTAGGAGCCATCATTGGTATGATAGGTTAAAGTTAACAATGCATTAAATCCCAAAGGGTTAAAGTTATAGTGTAAGAGAAATAAATATCATTTTCACATTAATGTTCCTGTCTTAAAAATATAAAAATATAAGTTTTGCAATATTGTTTTTAAATCAAAAAATACCTAATAATTGTTTGTCTTGATGTCTAAAAAAACAACTTTTAAATAGGTCTAGATGTATCAACTTTTAATATTTATTAAACGGTAGACTTAAAGACATAAAATAAGAATAGTAAAAGCTTTGAATATTGATAATTGAAGAAAATAAATAAAGGATACAACCTTCTCGTTTCCTAGGCTATATGTGATGATTAATTTGCTCATGTATTATTTTTATACGAAAGTGTTGGTACACAATGCTAACTTACTCTTTCTAAAATCTTAGTTTACATAAGTTAGCAAATCACATTATATATAGTTTGGTGCGGTTTTAGTGCGGTGCTGGTGCGGCCTTGGTGCATAATACTAACTTATTCCTATATTAAAAACAATATAATATAGTATGTAAGAATTAAAAGAAATATGTAAGAGACTTAACATGTATGACACATACATTAATAATTAGTTTCACATATATCTGTTGGTATGTAGGATCAACAACTACACACCCTTGAGCTTGGGTGGGAAGAAATGCATGTTCTGCATGAAGTTACACAACAAATTAAGTCAAAAATCATGATGCAGAATTATTACTAAGTTAAATTGACATGCATTAAATCCCAAAGGGTTAAAAAATAACAGCAAGAAAACAATGATAGTCAATACCATAGTCCTGTTTAAATTATTGACAGAAAAGTATGGCAATGTGTGAAGAAGCCATCCTAGATATTATGGGAAGAATGAAGTGAAGTAGCTTAAATAAGTGAGTGAAGTAGCTTAGTTGATATGTAGAATATTATCCGAAGAATGAAGTGAACTAAGAAGAACTTAGCCTAGGGATAAGGACATATTTGGATTCTTCCCTCACCTCACTTTGTAAGAGATACCCGTGACCCAACAACTTTCCTCATTTTATCTTAAGGCATTAGTATATTTTGTACCTTTAAAGGAAATATCAACTAGAAATCAATCAATCCATGCTCCATAATTTGTATGTAGCTTTTCATTCTTGAGAAAGTGCCCATATGGTGGACCACATGACCCAACTCTCTTGTTCTTTGAATTTTCTCATAGCTTTAGTTATATATATTCTTCAGAAACTATTATTGTTTTTAGTGTATGTTCACATATGTTAAGGAGTATACTGAAAGCATGTTCTCATATATAATGACTACTTAATTCACTTTTGAAAAATAAAAAGTACACTAACTTTATAATATAATAATTTTTTTAATTGGATTTATTAACTTTGTGCTTTAAGACATGCACTCAATATATGAATGAATAAAGTCATAATTTTTTGTGTATTTTTTCAAACCGCAAATCAGATTTTGATACATTTATAGGGTGTGAAAGCATATTGCACAACTCATGGATACCAATAGCAATAAGTGTAATTCATCATGTGATATCTATTCCAAAATAAAGCACAAATGATTGGAAATTTTATAAAGTTGATTTGTCTAAAGAGGGAATGTGCAATGCATCATGTGATATCTATTTGTATTCTTTCCTAAAGAAGTTGTGTGGAATTCAGATAATGATTCATTTAGTTGATATAAAGAAGGGTCCAAAGAGTGAATGAGGATCACTCGTCTTGATCGGTGTCTCATTTTCTATCCCGAACCAATGGCATATTGTCATATGAATAATATAATTTTTTAAAAATAACAAGTTATTTTTAAAAATAGTATCAACAAGTTATTTTCATACTTGGTTGCTAGGGTTGGAAAACTAAGGCTAAAATGTTGATACTATTTTTAAATAGAGTGTCATAAGTGCTTACCTGCAAAGTGAAAGTGATTGAAATGGAATCCAATACATACTTTAATCTCAAATGGAACTCAGTGCACTTTAAAGCTGACATCTCAAATGGAATCAGATGAGTTCTACACAGACAATCCAATATATCAACCGACTTTAATTTCAAATGGATACATCATTACCCTTTGCTTGTTTGTACATTGTGTTTATGTTTGTTAAATATCCAGACTAGTTTTTGTACCTTTTGTATAATCGAATAACCTAGATTTCACCTAGTTATTCACACATATAATTTGAGGTAGATAATTAGAATATAATTTTAGTTTAAATTTGTGTGCATATATATATATATATGTGAGATATAGTAATTGGAATAATTAATGATAAATAATAATAAATAAAAAAATTATTTGTGTAATTTGAATATCATTTCAATTTAATATTAAGTTCAAAAAAATAACAAATAAAGATTTTTAATATTAATTTTTAATAGTAATTTAATATTAAAATCAGAGACAACACTAGAGAGAGAAATCAAAAAGAGAGGGAGAAACATACTACATACCAGTCACCATACACACATAAAAAGAATTAGAAGAACATATCTACATACGCGTATCACATACTAGTCCCAAACCCACGTGCACAGTTTATAGAAATAGCATGCAAATACATACTCTAATTCAACCTATTTCAACCAAAAATGCATACACTCATCATCAATTAAGGATATGCTTCATGGCAATTATAAAACAGTTTGGTTTAGGACTTGTTCTTAGTGAATCATCACCCCAAACCCATATCACTCTAAATCTGCCTAATCTTAATATGTTTGGTTTGAGTTTAAGAAAACTTTGTGCATACTTTTTTATTTTTATCCATATAATCCAAACTATCATTATAGATATCTACAGCAAACATCACAAGATATATTTGATATAAAGAATGGTCATTACATAAAGAAAGCTAGTTGCTAGTGAGGTCCATTTGTTGTCTATGTTTGTGACATCTGGGTGGTGGAATATAGTTAACAGTGCTAATAAAAGAAAATGACACCAAATATATTTTTTGTCACCAAATTTCATATTAAAGGGATTTATGTGGAACTATAAATAGGGGAAGGGTAATATGTATAGTTTCATTAAAACTAAGGAAATGTATATGTAATTTATTATTATTATTATTATTATTTTGTTGTGAAAATTAAAGTGTTATATAAGCTCCTACTATTAATTTGACTTGGTTTACCTAATCAGTGTAATTAGCACAAATATATGTGGTTTAATTTTTCTACTCCTTTTTATTGTTAGGTAAATGATTTATTTTTTGTGTATTTTTTCAAACCACAAATCAGATTTTGATACATTTAGAGGGTGTGAAAGCATATTGCACAACTCATGGATACCAATAGCAATAAGTGTAATTCATCATGTGATATCTATTCCAAAATAAAGCACAAATGATTGGAAATTTTATAAAGTTGATTTGTCTAAAGAGGGAATGTGCAATGCATCATGTGATATCTATTTGTATTCTTTCCTAAAGAAGTTGTGTGGAATTTAGATAATGATTCATTTAGTTGATATAAAGAAGGGTCCAAAGAGTGAATGAGGATCACTCATCCTGATCGGTGTCTCATTTTCCATCCCGAACCAATGGCATATTGCCATATGAATAATATTTTTTTTTTAAAAACAAAATGTAACATTCACATTGGCTTGGGATAGAGAATGAGATACCGTTTGAGATATGCGATCTCTGTCCGTTAGAGTGAAGCACTTTGTTGTCTATTTGTGTGGCATCTAGGTGGTGGAATATAGTTAATTGTCTTATCAAAAGAAAATGACAGAATAGTCCAAATGAATATATTCCCTTACTACAAATAGGAAGTCTCAACAATGATAAGCAAACAACAGGGAATCAACATATTGTTTCATTATAATTATAATAAAATAAGTTCTAAGCAATAGTTTCTCTATCAAGTGCTGTTATGAGCCATGAAATAAATCATGATACTCATAAATTATTTAAGTTGTGTGTAGAATTCATTATTCATCTCAACCCCAATTTTGCTACAAATCAATAAACAAAAAAATTATTCATCATCCATTAGAAAAACAAGATGTTCAACAAATGAAACCTTATAAATCTAAAAAAATCATAACTTGACTCAACCCCACTATAACAAATGACATGATAATTTCAAAATGGGAGTTTCTTACACAGTAGAACTCTCTTCCTAGTAAAATTCTTGTAACTTTACTGAATGCAGTTCATCATTTTTATACATGTTCAAGTGAATATTGATACACATTACAAAGAACTCAATATACATGTTAATTAGCAAATCTAATCACTATATTTTTCTCTAGGATGTATTATTTGACTCTTATTTAAGTTTAACCAATTTTTATTATTCTAATTTTCTACAATTTCAATTAGCTTATTTGTGAATCTTATCAAAATAAATAATTTATTTAATTATTTGAAAAATATATTATTAATTCAGTGTTTAATTAGCTTGTTTATTCAAATGCAGATTGATAGTAAAGCTGTAAAGGTGAATGTAGCACCTCCACTAAAGTCACTCATGTTTCTCTCTGTTCCATGATTTTGATGTTATTATTAGAAAATAAACATGTGTTTTGAACATGCCTTACAATGTCATTAAGCACAAAATTTCCAAAACACTAATTTCAATGTTTTTAATCCTATTAATATGAGTGTAATATTTATAAAGTGTCAATATAAATATTTATACACCGTTACTAAACCATTCATATTTTTTTTAAAGGTCAATGATAATTAAACATGATTGATGAATGATGCATTAACCATATACGAAACTCATACATTGTTAGTGCATGCATTTTTTTCTCTTAACATATTCCATGTTATTTCCACGTAGCATTGTTATTTTCACAAATTCATGTTATTAATTTTCTACTCTTATTCACTAGTTTAGTATTTAAAATTTGATTTTGACATGTGTCAAAATTCTAACTATGCAATGGACTCTCATGTAATGGAGAGGAACCAAACTCACTTAAAACAGCATTTGAAACAAATTAAAAACCATTGACTTGGAGTCAACACTCATTTACTCAGTCTATGATTCTATTCTACTGAGCTTATGCTCACTCAATTTTACTTGTATTATTTTACTTGTATTATTAAAAGGTTCTTCACTATTAAATTTAAGGACATGATTTTTGATCAATCCTTTATAAAAAAAGTATATTATAAAAAATGAAATAAAAGATTAGGTTGAACAATGATGACCAAAATATAGGACGGGTTGTTTCCAAAAGGGTAGGAGTGGCTTAAATTTCTCATTTTATGTATTTGGATTGTCTAACATATATTTTTTATAATATTGTAATATAGTTCCTTTTATGGAAATAATTATTGTATGTAATTAATTAAAACATACATAAATTGAAGATAATGAAAAATTTGTTTCCATTAAATGAACTATATTAAGTGATGTAATGAAATGTAATATCTTAAAAGTGAAGTAATGAAATGTAAATTATAATTGAATTCTAGATGGAGTGAAGATAGTAATCATTGTAGATACCAATTACAATATGTGCATAATATATACTAAGAAAGAAAGAAAAAGGAGGTACAAACACCATGTCCATGAACCATTCTTCTCTTCCAAAGTCCACAGCATGGTACTAATTCAATGACAGAATACATAGTCAAGTGTATTTAGTAATACACATCAATTTACAAGCCATGAAAGATGCTCAATAGCTTGTTACAATATAAAACTGAAGAATAAAAATATAGTCTAATGGAGAATAATTCATATCAAGCAAGAATAACAATTATAACACCATAATAACCTCCTATGGAATTTTACAAAAAACTAAAATGAATCAGTTAAATTATTATTCCCAGGATTTAAGATAGACATTTTGAATGAAAAGGTTGGCTGAACTCCTCTTAGCCAACTGCATCTTAATCAACATCTGCGTCTGTCTCTCCATCTATGATGCCAGCCTCTACTTCAGCATCTGCTTCTAACTGGCCTGCTTCCTGGCCAACATCATTGTCTGAGCTCTGCTTCTGATGTTCATCTGGTGTTGGACCACCTTGAGTGCCAATGACAGTGGT